ATACGACGGTGGGGTTTTTTTTTGTATTACTTCGCCAGTACGATTGTGGAGTCATGGTTATTTATTTTCATGTTTTTGTGATGCCTGTTCAGGGTTTGGACAATTCCTGGAGCAGAGGTATTTTAGCTTCGTACACGAGGAAAACCCCGGGACGCCAGGAGAAACCCGACGTGCACAAGCGGGTAACACCACCACCGCACAGGTAGCCGGTTGGAAACCCACTTGCCACACTGCCTTTCCACGTGATACTTATTTTCCTGTGGCCGCTATGCCATCTCAGGCTGCATATCGTGGCCACAATGACCACTCCGCGCACAACGGGGCTTTCCATAAAACATGCCAACGTTGGCATGTGGTTGGCATGTGGTTGGCATGTGGTTGGCATGAGGTTGGACCAACGTTGGGCCAACGTTGGTCCAACGTTGGCATGTGGTTGGCATGTGGTTGGCATGAGGTTGATCCAACGTTGACCCAACCAACGTTCCATGTTTACCGGATTATTATTAGTATTAATAACCAGCAAAAGCTTGTGAAATTTCACGATTTACATGCACGCCTAAGACTGCATTTGCCTCTAACATGTCACCTGGATGTTTCTTCATGTAACAAACCTAATTCTTAAAGCCACAACTTAGAGAGAGAGGAATGGAAAGATAGTCCAGCTACTGAACCACCTCCGATTAACACGGTTGGCTACGTACGGTGCGAAAGAAGTTAACCATACATACACTTGCACGTTTGGCTACGTACGGTGCAAACGAAGTTCAACATCCATACACGAGTACGGCTGGCTACGTATGGTGCAAAAGAAGTGCAACATACCACCACGTTTGACTACGTACGGCGCAAAAGAAGTTCAACGTACATACGCTGGCGCCCGTCTGGGTGACCTGTGAACCAAGCGATCGCGACCCCGGGGTGGGACAGCGTCTCTCATGCGCGCAAGGTGACGTTTTTGTTGTTGTCCGCACACGGAAAGGGGGGCCCACTCCCCACAACGGTTTCCTCGAAACAATAAAGAAACATCGAGCCGGACGCGCCGGGGGCTCGCGAACTCGAGTGACCGTGAGCTCAGCCAGGGCCGGGCGGTCGACGCCTCTCCTCCTGGTTTTGCCCAGAAGCGTTCCCGTTTTGAGGTCGCGGCAAGACGTCGCAGGACGTTTCGACGTCTCCTTTTTTACTTTTTGCACTTTCGTTGTGCAGTCAAAGGTGCAAAGCGGGACAATGCAATTTTGCACTTAATTCTCAAAACAACGTGGGATCGCTGGGAGGCGGGGTTCACCGCGTGCCGTTGTTATGCTCAATGAGAATTGGCAATTCCAGCCGTGGCGCCGGGCTACGGAGAGGGGGAGAGAATTGTCCAGGGGGCCCGATTATCACACTTTCCCCCAGGCCTAGGTGCCGGCCACGCTACATCACTGCGTGCATGGCAGCGGGTGGGTGATGAAGGTCGCATTGGGCTCAAAGGCAAGTCCACTACTTCCTCCAGCGTCTCTGGGTTTGCCATCACTCTGCCCCTCCCGCCGCCCCCACGTAACCCATAACCCCATAGGTGTTTATTATCCCACTGTGGGCGACAGCAAATCAGGCACAGATACTCCCTTGGGGCTCGATTGCAAGCCTCGAGCCGACACCACAACAGGAATTCTTCTCACCTCGACGGGCGATTGGGAAGGGATTGAGGCTGGAAGGTTAAGTTGTGGGATCACTGGGAGGTGTGGTTTAGGATGTATGATGGAACTCGCCTTTTGCCCGTCCAAGGACGGGTGTATTGCAGTAACTCTGAAACTTGCAAGTCAAAAGCAGAAGCGCGACCTGATATTCATTGCATCACTGCGTGTGCAATTTGTAAGGGCGCGGTGACACAGACCTATTTCATTTAAAGGTTATAATCCCATGTTCATCACGACGTTCTTTTTACTTCGATGTCTCAACAGCGTGACGGAGATCACGTGACGTGAGGGTTCTGCCTTTGTAGTGAGGGTTGTAAGTTGACGCAGAGGAGGGGGGAGGAGGCGCCTCGCCCCCCATGTGGAGTGACGTCACCCGCTAATTATTATGAATGGCGGGGGAGGGGGGTCCTTTGGAGTGACATCACCTGCTCATGATTATTAATGAGGGGGGATGGTGCTCCATGTGGAGTGACGTCACCTTCTCATGATTATTAATGAGGGGGGGGTCCATGTGGAGGACGTAACCTGTTCATGATTATTAATTAGGGGGGCTGGTCGATGTGGAGTGACGTCACTTGTGCATGATTATTAGTGAGGGGGGGGGGAGTACTCAATATTGCGTGACGTCACCCGCTCATGATTATTAATGAGAAAGGGTGGGGGGGGGTGTCCATTTGGAGGACGTCACCTGCTCATGAATATTAATGAGGGGGGCTGGTCGATGTGGAGTGACGTCACGAGCGTTAAGGACAGACATTCCTGGGTGATGATAGTAGGTATATATGTGTGTTACAGGTGTAGTGGTGGTGTTGACGTGCGCCGACAGTGATGGATCACGGGGCGCGGGGTTGGGCACGCGATGTGGGCGTGGTATGAACGCGCGCTGACACAAGCTGGGAAAAGAGGATCGTAGCCAGCGCGCAGTGATTGGTCAAATAAGATGGGTGCTCTCAGCGACGTCCGCAGGAGGTGCATAAAGGGAGACGCGCGAGAGCACTCGTGGTCAGTGTTAACCAGTTGAAGACCGAAGACGGAGTGGAGGAGGTAGTGGCCCGAGACCCCTAGTCCCGCCGTCCTTGTCAGGACCGGGGCCCTGTGTGGCTCGGAGCCGAGACTGGGGAACCCGTAGTCCGATGCCCGCGTGGGTCGGGACGGTGGTACCCAGAGCCGAGACGGACACCCCAGCCGGGTGTGTTCCGGAAGGCTACGGGGCGTAAGAGCCCGTGTCAGTATAGCTGAGTGGGTGTTAGTCACCCGAGTAGCTAAGTGGGTGTTAGTCACCCGTGTAGCTGAGTGGGTGTTAGTCACCCGCGTAGCTGAGTGGGTGTTAGTCACCCGAGTAGCTAAGTGGGTGTTAGTCACCCGCGTAGCTGAGTGGGTGTTAGTCACCCGAGTAACTAAGTGAGTGTTAGTCACCCGTGTAACAGTTTGGTGTTAAATAAAAGAGTGTGCTACCCGTGAAGTCGTCTCCCGCCGAGTTACTACTTTACACAGGTATACCGCACCAGGTACTCAAATGATCAACCTATTTATTAATAATCTGATAGCCCCTGTGGGCCCTACTTATCAGCAAAGTTTTCCAATAAAACTCAATTCCAGCATATCATTTGTCCAGATTAAACAACCGTGGCGTTTCAAGCAATTGGTCCATCAGCATAGGCTGCTATTATTTCATGGAATTCTTATGCAGACATTTGTCTGGACGATGGGCCAGGCACTTGTCTGGACGATGTGCCAGACACTTTTCGCCAGGCCACTGCAATTAAAATAAAACAAAAAAATGGACCAATGACAACATTGGCCACAAATTCACGATTTGTTGTTACCGTCACTGCTGGTCGCGATAAGGCCGAGAGCTTTGGCACACGCAATGCGCATATCTTGTGTGCACTGTTAAAATTTAGACACTCCCCTGTTTACCCGTTAATTCCTTATCATCAATGTCATCGCAGTATCATCCCCTTCACCTGCTCTAACCCTAAATAAACACTGCACGATGAATGCCGCTGAACTGTGCATACCCATAGCACTCAAGCCGTGTGTACGTACACACAACACTTTGTCAATCCACTGCTGGATGAGGGCCTACCCACGCCACTGCTGGTCGCCCACTGTTACTTTGACCATACTTCCCCGCGCTGGTTGGTGAAGGTGCATGGGGGAGGAAACAAAACGGGGGAGCATAGAACGGAGCACAACCATGGATTTCACTTCACCGCACCATGGATTTCACTTCACCGCACCATGGATTTCACTTCACCGCACCATAGATTTCACTTCACCGCACCATGCATTTTACTTCACCGCACCATGGACTTCACTTCACCGCACCATGCATTTCACTTCACAGCACCATGGATTTCACTTCACCGCACCATGGATTTCACTTCACCGCACCATAGATTTCACTTCACCGCACCATGCATTTTACTTCACCGCACCATGGACTTCACTTCACCGCACCATGCATTTCACTTCACAGCACCATGGATTTCACTTCACCGCACCATGGATTTCACTTCACCGCACCATGGATTTCACTTCACCGCACCATGGATTTCACTTCACCGCACCATGGATTTCACTTCACCGCCCTCCGCTGTTCAACACATCGGCCCCGCAGCCTTGAGCAGCCTCACTCTGCATTTCCGGTGGCCCATCAGAGAAGCCCTGTTCAGACTCTAACCCTCCCTTAGCTGCCAAGATCGCCAGCATTCTGGTGATCGGCCCAAAAAACACACAACAAGAAGCAATTGCAACCCTTTTGCTTTCTCAAGTTGTTCACTCCTTGTGTGTTTGGGGGGGTGGGGGAGCGAGGGGAGGGTGGTCTCGGGGCAGCTTGTCGAGCTGGGGGTCAGAGTCTCGCAGACACGAAAGTCTAATTGGTTGGTGGTGGTGGTGGGCGCTGTGTGGGCGGTGGCTGGTGACGACGTGACAGCGTGCCGACTTTCCCGTCAATGACGTCGATTCCCGCACCTGGCTTACCTGAAGCCAATGGCAGTGGGCGTGCCGATGATGGAAGGGTGGGGTGGGTGGGTGGGTGGGGGGCTAGAGGGGGGGCAGGGGGGGATAGGGGGTGGGGGAGGCGGAACTCACCTGTACGGCGGTGACATCGCTATGCAAATTATGGAGCTGGGCCACGGCAGCCCACACATTGGGCGAACGTGACGGAGGACCAATCCCATTGACCTGCCGGGCAGAGAGGGGATTTCCCCTCCTCTGTGTTCGTGAGCGAAGCAGCACTAAAGTGTGCCGGTGGGTGGCGGCGTGGGGGGGGGCATGCATTGCTTGGGGCGGGGCGAAGACCCGTATATTACAACTGGCACACGCGCGCGCCAAGACACGTAAGACTCAGACCTCTCGTAGCTCACGGGCAGCCGAGCAATCGACAGTTTCAATATTGACGAGTGAATCGTCAGACAGCGAGTAGGTAATACGCTGAGGTCACCTGTCCGGCGAAAAACTAAAAAAAAACTCCAAAGGAGGCGATTTTCTCGTGGTCCGCTCTCCACCCACCCCGACTGCCACCTCTGCTACTACCGTCTGATGTTTGGTGCTGAGCACACCTGGACATCACCGGCGTTGGGCATCACCTGTGCTGAGCGAGGAGTCAACTCAAGCAGGTACGTGCCGCGCCTGCGAGTGAGCGCATTGCACACAGGGGCAATGATACGGCAGCAATTATAAAATATTAACAATATTGCAATCTTAACAATAATGCAATCTTAACAATAATGCAATATTAACAATAATGTAATCTTATAACAATAATGCAATCTTAACAACAATGCAATCTTAACAATAATACAATCTTAACAATAATGCAATCTTAACAATAATGCAATCTTAACACCAATAATGATGATTTTCAGCCCATGGTCAGTGAAGTTCTCCCCCACCTGTTGTCCCTCGTGGGAATTGTTTGACCATACTTCACCTCGCTGGTCGGTGATAGTAATCGGGTCAATGTATCCTTCACCCTCTGATCGGCCATGGGGAGGGAATAGAACTCAGGGTGCCCAGATTCTCGGACACACGCTCACCACTGCAGTATCATGAATAGTCTTGGTCAAACGTAGATCACTACACATGAATTGTAAGTGTTGTCATTATCGTCGTCGTAATAATTATGTTGAATAATTCACAATACACACGTGCCAGAAATGCATCTGTAGGTATAGAGAATGTATGGTGTACATTTCAGACATGCGATGTCAGAGCGAAAAACATATTTATGTTTACTTATTTTTAATAGGATGTTTATGCGTAATACAAACAATAATTATGGTATTTATTTTACCATAGCTTGTAAATATTGTGGATTTGCTCTCCAACACACCGGTGTAGTGCTGTACTAGTAATGAATTGGCCACGTTCTGTTTACGTGACAAACCCTTACTAATCAGCTGTGTCCGGTGGTGGCGGGTTTAGCGACGCATTCACATTTATGCGATCTAACCCCCCAAAAAAACCTCTACTATGGTTTCATCTCACAATGTCGTCGTGATTACCACAGCGCCGTTGTAATGTATCACTATAATCGTCGTTCAGCGTTGCACTCGATACTTTGTGAACTTTATTTAATTTCACGACGTGCAACTTGGCACGTTGTCGCCACGCTTTTTAGACAATCATCCTGCATCACATGCAGAGGATAAAGTACGTAGCAGACTGTGTCGAGGCAAGTGCTGTTAGCGGGCACCTATGAAAGGTCGGCAAGGTACACGAGGGGGTGGGTGACCAGCACCACGCCCGGTCGCCGTTCTCTCCCCAGTGGCGATGTTTACACATCGCACCAGGTACTCATTTGAGGCTGAGTCGACCTAGGGGAGGCCGATGACCGGTTCAGATAATCGTCACCCGGGTCGTCGGGTTCATAGCCAAGCGCGCTAACCTCTGAACTACCGTTCCACACACACACAAAGACATATATCCCCGTATAGCCTTCACAGACTGTCGGGGCAAGTGCTGTTAGCGAGCGCACGTGAACGCACGCACGCACGCATCCACCGCCACAGAAACGTGAGAACTCCACACCAACTCAGAGCCGCCGACAGGGAGCAACAAGCCCCGTGTGAGTTGGTAGGAATGCAAACGATCTTGTCAGATCTCAAAAAGCTAAGCGGAGGGCGGGGGGGTGAGCCCAGACAGTGCTTGGATCGACGACGACCACCACCACCACCCCTACCAACCAGGCATAGAACAGGTGCTATAGGCTGCGGCAGGTGACTGCATCGTGGAGAGCAGAGGGCGGTTGTGGCCAAAAAAAATCAACACCTTGTTGGGCTGCACTTGGCACGTTCTGTTTACGTGACAACCGTGACAAATTGGCTGCGGTCGGGTGGTGGCGGGTTTAACGACACATTTATATATTTACGCGATCTAACCCCCCCCAAAAAAAGCAACCCTGTATCATGGATGATATTGGTCGCGAACGCCGACTGCGTGTTAAATTGTTGGACTACACTGCCGTGTTTCCAAACCCGCGCTGACCAGGCGCGGTGAAGGACGGTCATATAACCTCCACGACGCGCGCGGCATGGGGAGGGCCCCTCATCCAGCAGTGGAGTGGCAAGAGGGTTGTACATGCACACAGTCACACAAAGATAAAAAAATTTAATACCCCCCGTATAGCCTTAGCGAGCACCTATGAAGGTCGGCACGGCACACTAGGGGGTGGGTGGCCAACACCACGCCCGGCCGCCTTTGTCTCCCTAGTGGCAATGTTTACACACCGCACCAGATACTCATTTGAGGCTGAGTCGACCTAGGGGAGGCCCAGGACCGGTTCAGATAATCGTCGCTGGTGTTGGCCGTGCGCGGGAATCGAACCCGGGTCGCCAGGTCCGTAGCGCAGCGCGCTAACCGCTACACGGGCACACACACAGACACACACACACACAGACACACACACACCGTATTGAATCGAATGCGTGCCCGCCGATTTGCTAAATGGATGTGCGCTTGTCTCGGCGTGTGCAGCATGGACCAGTGCATCAAGATGTGGAATCAGTGGACCAAAGACATATACCCCGAAGTGCCGCAGACTCTCCTGGATAGCGGAGAAAGCATGTACCAGCATCTGACGCCCGCAGCTTTCATAGAGCAAATGGGTAAGCGGCAGCTCATGGCACACCGCTGCCTTCCAGCCTCAACTACCGCCACTACCGCCACACCACCACCAATACTACCATCGTCACACCACCGCTGCTAAGCCACTTTCACCACCGCCATCACACCACCGCCACTACCGACACCACCGCTACCACCGCCACCACTACTACCGCCACACCACCACTGCTTGACCACTACCACTACCGCCACACCACCACCATCACATCGCCGCCACCGGCACCACTACTACCGCCACACCACCACCATCACACCACCACCACTACCGCCCCACCGTCGCCACGACCTGCCACGCCACCACTGCTACACCAACACCGCCACTGATTCCCAGTACATCAACAAGACCACGCAGCCACTTTGGCATATCCCTACCTCCCAGCCTCAACCATAACCCGCCACTCCACTCCAGCGCACCCTTTACGGGCACATCATCTCGGCTGCCTGTCAGCGTCAGCCACCACAACCACACCACCCCAGCATTGTCCACCAATGCTGGTCCACTGCCACCTTCACTGCCACCACAGTGAGCATCGCGGCACCCACTGGCATATCTCTCCATGCTTGTCACATCACATCATCATTGATCGTTGCTGAGCGCGTGGTGGTCAGTCTGGATACCGTGTCTCTCAACTCCAGCCCTCACAAACGTCCACCTTTAAGCTTGAACCACTTCGTGGTTACAGCCTTCCACGATCACCAAATGACTGGGAAGGTTTGGTGGGAGTTGTGATGAGTGGAGTTGAGAAACACTGGCATGGTGGAGCACGTGGTGGAGTGGATATTGACCTGGAATGGCAGCGGTAGGTCTATCTTTTGATTATTCCGCTGGTTCAGTGCTTGTATTGTACAGTCAGAATCAGAAGATGTATTTACACTGAAGGAATCCGATGAGCTATAAAGCTCTTTTTCACAGTTGTCCAGTCGGGGCGGGTCAGAAAGTTACAACAACAACAAAGTATAGGGAAGGTAAACAAGTCACTTAAAAAGATATATAGGCAAATAAAGCTAAACTAGTTCTGCAAGGTAAAGCCCACTGAGCTATTAGCTTCTTTTTCAGACGTGAGCTGGCCACAAATGGTAGCTCAACGAAGCGGCGAATCACGTGGGGAAATTTATAGCGGCCAAATACGCCGAATCATCTAAACGTGTACAATGAAACACTTGAACATGCATTTTCATGCGGGAATTTTTTTTGTATTCCATTATTTAAGAGCATTCACGTGCGTACACACCAGAGTATGGCAACCTCATTATCTCAGTGGCCACGCAAAGGTACGGTCCAGCAACTTTTAATGAGCAACTTCGAGTTTTCGAAGTAGATTATGATTTTATTTTGTGCCTAACGAGGTGACCAGCGACACACGGAGTCTCATTGGCAAGAAAGAGCGAGCGAGCGAGCGAGTGACTGGGAGGTTACCGTTGAAAGTATTTTTTTCTTTATAAACCGGAGCAGGCTCACGATTATGGAACCGAGACGGTCACCATTTGTAAGCGATAACCATAAACGGCGATGATTTAGAAGGGAGCGAAGATGATGACAATCCCAAAAGCTCGCATTTGCTGAAAACCTCGCCAAATTGTACAAGCGCACGACCTACATTTGTAAAACAATGTTATAATAATAACGAAAGGGCAGTAAATTTGAGGTTACCCCCTCCACCTCGCCCGCCTTTCCACCTCCCACCCCTCACCCCCCATACGGGCGTTGGTGGTGCAGCAGTAGCAGCAGTAGCAGCAGTCGTAGTAGCGACTCAGCCGGCTGTCGCTCGCGATAACGCCGCGCGCACGCCTCCTGCGGCCGCCGTGGCTTCCCGTGGCTGCCCACCGACTCTGGGTTCACACGCACGGCAGAGCCACTCATCCTGCACCCCCCCCAACCCCAGCCCCTCCACCCACGCACCCACTTTGCCCCAACTCCCCCTCCCCCACACACCCTTAACCACGGTGGTGGTGGCGGTGGTGGTGGGGGGTGCTGCAAACGCTCAAAAACGAAGAGGAACTAAACTCGTTTCCAGAAAAAGAAAAAAAAAGTCTAAAACCGGAGGGGACCATTTGCATAACCAGTTTTGGGGGGTCCTGCTGCGAACTTGAACATTTCGGCTCACGCACGAGCTCTCTTTGATCGACGGCTTGGGAAAGCGCGGAGTTGTGCCTGTGGGAATATCGACACCACGCTTACTTCAGCGTTGTGTCATCGTCCTCGCCGCTGTTAGTGGAACTGATATCTCAGAAATGCAAAGTCCAAAAGATGTAGATTGACATCAATACGTCACACTGCCAGCCACTCGCACATCCTGGGAGACATTTGACACCGCTTGTGCGTTTTTAATTCGCTCACTCGCTCCCCACGGACACCGCAATGCTGAGTTCCATATCCCGGCCGGAGTTCACGCATCGGTGGCGAGTGCTATCTGAAGCGGCCATACGCCACATCCCGCTCCCCCCGTCCCCTGTCCTCCCCTCCCACGCCCTTCGCCAACCCAACCACACGAGCCGGCGTGGTGAAGTATGGTAAAGCGAACCTCCATGATCAGCGTAGCACGGGGAGGGCCACCTCGACCGGCAGTGAAATAACAAAAAGGTTCAATTTCGACGGCTGCTTGCGTTGTGGCCGAAACGTCGTGACAATTTTTTTCTTGTGTTTTATTTTTATTCTTTTATTATTTCCCTTCTACGTGACTTCACCGAAAGAACTAAGATGAGCAAAAAGGTTTTAAAAGAGTGCGTGGTTCCAATGTCGCCGTGAGCTATGCGTCCGGTTGAAAACCGACAACGTGGAAATGTGTATCGCTGCAAAGAGCGGGTCACGTGACGTGGCTGACACGCTTGCTCTCGCCAGGGCCGGTGATGGCGTCAGACGACCTGCTTGAACCCCTGCCGTCGTCGAGCGACACCGACAGTAAGTGTCCCTCCCTGACGCTCTCGCACCACCCCCCATCTCCCCCCCCCCCCATCACCGCCAACGTTTCACGATCACGTCTCTCGAATCATCGAATCGCGCCGTGACGCGGGGATCTCGGCTCGACGGGCGATTATGGGATTCCTCGATCGTCGCATCGTGACCCCCTTGATCATGGCAACTCATCGATTCGCGATGTCAACCAAATTGTGACGTGCTTCGTGGTCGATTTAAATGTTCATTTTTAAAATAGCTAACAACCACCACCACCACCAACAGCCACTTCTGCACCAGAAACAATAACTACACGATGCCTCCGCCCCGTCGCGGTCTCGTACCATCAGCGGGAGTCCTTCCCTCCCCGCTGTTTGCTTCCAGCTCACCGGCGGTTGTCGTCGTCCGTTCGCCATTTCCTGGGACTCGCGTGAAGGCCCCTCTCATCCAGCAGTGGATTGACAAACGGGCTGTGGACGAAGGCCTCGCCGTGCCCTTCTTCTCTCAAACCGCCGTGCGGCACGCGTGGCCCAACCAGTTCAGGCGGCGTTCCATGACAAACCGTCGTGATTGACGGGCAATTGGTCCATCGATGCGACCCACCGCACGTAACCGCGTCCGCCCAGGATGCGCATGCAATTGCTCACCTCAACCATCGATGGTGGGCAGCTTCTAACCTTTTGGCCTTTCCCATAAGCAATGCCCCACCAGGTCCCAGCTCCATCAAGTAGCGGCGGGTACCCAGTAAACGCGGAACATCGGGCCAACGTTGGGAATATTCGGCCAAAGTTTCGGCTCACGGTGTTGACCCGGCGTTCCACGTTCGTCGCGCATCACGATTGGCTCAGACCGTCGACAACTCCCGTACACCGACGAGTCGGGAGAGACGACAAATATAATTTGGACGGCGACTTTAAACGTGCTCTCTTTGGCAATTCCGCCAGGCTGGCACCTGCTCATGGGGGACATGGTGGAGATGGCGGACATCGGGTACGTGTCGGAGTCTCCGAGCCCCACCCCGGGTTCAGAGGACAACGTTGACCCGGGATACACCATGCACAGCCCAGGTACCAGAGGCACTACCCCAGCCACTTGTATTCTCATTTTTCTTCTTCTTATTCAATCACACGCTCTGTTTAGGTATCGACAGGCAGTGTGAACACTGTCCGAGATTCAGATGACGCCGCTGCCGTTGTCCGTTCGTTTGTCCGCGCTCGATTTTGCAACCCAGAGGTCGGTAGCTCCCGGCGGGGCGGTTGAAACGACAACGCTAGCCTCTTAAAAAATCCCCCCACACTGCCGCCTCCATCCAGCCAGCGGCGTAGGCGGCGTGGAAGAGTAGGCCAAATACTCTCCACGGGAGGGCCTTCTAGAGCCGCCTCGAGTGGAGGCCCTTCTGCCCGCAGCGGGGTGGGCGAGCAATCGCAGGGCTGCGCCTTTTTGCCTCTTCCAAATCCCCCGGTCTGTGACGACGTCAAACTGCACGCGGCGTGTGAAAGGAGCTCCTCCGGCTCAGTCCCCAAGTCAGCTCTCGGCTCGTGGAGAAAACCGTCGGACCAGCGCGCGGCAACAACCCGAAAGCACATCGGAAGCGCCGCGCGGTGGCAGCGCGACCCGAGCGAGGGAGAGATTCGTGCACGTCGAGGCGGCGGCGTGACGACCCGCGACGGGACACGGCTAGAGATTTGCTCGCGGTCATTCGCATTCACGGGGGGAGGTGGACGGGAAGGGAGGGGGGGTGGGAGGGATGGGGGCGAGCAGGCGAGTTGCGTTGAAGCGCTCGCTTTCTCCGCGACCTGACCTCTAACCGCGACGCTGCCGCCCCGCTGCTCTCTCCGCGTTGCCGCCGCAGTCACCGTGGACCGGGGTCTCTTCCCCGTGATGACGCCTTACACGGACAGCGACTCGGACTACGACCACCTGGAGCTTCACAGCAGCACGCCGTCGCCCCCGCAGACAGGTACGTCGTCGCGCGCGGCCTCCAACCTGTACGGGCCCGTGGGGCCCCCGGTGCAGTTGAACCGCCTGCACGCTCGATAGCTACGGCATTGCGTCGCGCAAAGCCCATCAGCTCGGCCCTTCTCGTGATCTCCTGTAGGCACGGTTGTTGTCTGCTTTCTATTCGTTTTTTTGGGTACTGATTTGTATTTCGCTTCATGGCCGTACTTTTACCTGATTGTTCTTGTTGCTTTGGTGCACCGGGTCACTCTTGCACAATGAGTTCTCGCTCTGGTTCAACAAAATAAATTTGAACCTAATGCTGGGGACATTGAAACGTTTTCGTTGGACTCCGAACTCCGAAACACCAAGCACGTCACACACAAACAGAGAATCCTTGTGATGGAGCTCACCCTGGTGCTGCTCAGACACACACCATTTCAACAATGATCCGCTCACACATTCAACATTCATTCTCAAGCACGGCCATTGACGATCTCGTCAAGGTGCATAAACCATCACGCGAACTCTGGCCAATAGCCGCTGAGCGAATGACCGCATTGCACTTGCAAGGTGTGCTTCTGCGGCCGTCTGGAACGCTCTTCCTTCCGATATTAGGTTCCACTGGAGCTACGCACTTTTAAATATCGATTGAAAAAAAAAACTAATTTCTTTAGCACTGATTTTTGTGTTTAGTTTGCTGCCCTTCCCCCCGCACCTCCAATTAGCACGGTTGGCTACGTACGGTGTGAAAGAAGTTCAACGTAACATACATATTCATATTTTTTCGAGGATCGTAAGTAAAGACTTTACGTTGCGGGGTCAATTGAATGAAAACGACAAACGGTAGAAACAGAATACACGAGAGAGATGACACAAACGAGACAATCACAACAACAACAACAAGAATAATATCCGCCTGGGTGGAATCCTCACCCCGAATCGTGACACATTATCAGATCACTCGGGCAGATGGCAAATCATCACACGACTACCAAACACCGCCCAACCATTCCCACACCACTCAGTGTGACACCCAAATGGCTCAGTGGAAGAGCAATCTGAAGTTTGTGAGTTTAAATCCTGATTGGGGGGGAGAAGGGGGGGGGTTACTCAGCCAATCATCCCTCCAGGGTGGCATAAAACTAGCACCACTTTGTGTAGCATGCAAACAATCCTTGTCTTATGGATAGCCTCGCCCCGTCATAGGAATGTGCAATTTCCATCAATATCTCAGGGCTGTAAATATGATGTGAGCACTGCACTGATTGCTCAATTGAGCGGCAATCACTTTAGCTTGAACGGTCACTTTGGCTTGAAAAGTCACTTTTGGCTTGAACGGTCACTTTGAATTAAACAGTCGCTTTGGTTTGAAACGGTCACTTTGGCCATGAAGGGTCGTCACTTTGGCCATTCCGATTAGAGCGCCATCCACGTCCATTCTGATCCGCGTCACCCGCCCCAAAGCTGCGGCGACCAAGCGAATCCCGCGCCTTGTTGTCAAGTAGTCGCCCACGAACGACAACGCGCATCTTCACCCCCTGGGCTTCCAGAAACCAAACGCAAATCACACGGGCCCGCGTTTGACGACCACAACAATCGCAGCGGCGGTTTATTTTCGCGCGGGCTCTGCGAGCACGTGGCCGATTTTCTCGTGAGATTTGTCCACAGAGAGAAGGTCCGTGCGTGACCCAGGTGGCACGGCCGCCCCGGGTTTCATTTATGTCTCAACAATTGAGGCTTAAAAAAAACGAACTATGCAGGAGCATGGGAAGCGGAGATGCTCTTTCTTAGCAGTCTTGCGAGGAGTAGGCGATGTGCCGCTCTATTGTGCGACGATGTTGACTCCCAACTGCCCGTTTTGTTGCGCCGCAGACACCGACGACGTTTTCGCGGCTGCCAGGAGGAAGGCCGGCAGGCCTGGCCGCCCACGCAGCGCCAACAGCCTGCAGACGACGAAAAAGCACGGTGAGAATTCGACGACTCCCAAAAAAAAATAACACCAATGTTTTCAACGAAAGAGCACAAAGGGAACTGAATACGTATCTTATTCAGCTGATTCTTTAGTTTTTCTTATCTGGGCATCGGCATTTCGCCTCGCAGTACAGCGTTTTTGCCAGCAAGCACAATTGTACAAGGAAGTTTTTTTTTTAAACCAAAGTTAAATACAAATGTTAGCATTAGGCCCCACATGGAACTGGCAAGCAGGGTCGATGCAAAGTGCCAAGTGGTAATACCAGAAAAATCATTCAGTTCCCTTTATTCAACCCGGAATGTTAAATGCAAATATAGAGGAATAGACTCTGCTCGTCACAGTCACGCATTCGTTATTTAAATCGTCACGAAAATGTCGGCTGGTCTTCCGCTCAATTCAGTCGGTCAAGTCGGTTCACTTCGGGTAAAGGCCCCTTAGAGCCAAGAAGCCCTTCACCAACGGCCACCCGGTGAGCATGGGACAGCACTCGTACCTGGTCGAAGGGAGTCCCATCCACTGAGCAAATGTTGACTTCGCCACAAAGTGGAACTTATTTCATCGACCCCCAAAGGGATGACGGACTGAGACAACCGCCTACCACGATCAGCGCTCACATCCTTCTGACTACAAGCCGCTCACTCTGTAGCCGGGTTTAACTTTGGGTAATAAAAACAAAAGTTTTTTTATCTCATGTCCCATGGAACGCAATAGACTGCTCCTCGGAATAATTCAGCAGGATCTTGAGTGTTAATTTCACGCTGCCATGTTTATTTTGTCGAAGCACCACGATGGTGAGATGTCAACGACCTTGCCTGGTATACAAGAGGTCGTGGGTTCGATTCCGACCCTTTACGCCTGCTGTATATTTGCCGTTTGCTTGTTCTCCCCGTGGTTGCGTGGATTTTTCTCCGGGTCCTCCGGTTTTTCCCACCGCATTCAGGAGCATGCATTTCAGAGTATTTGGCAGCTGTGAATTTCCGCGTGATAAGCCACTTCATTGAGCTATCATGTATGGCCAGGTCGCTTCTGAAAAAGAGCTACATAGCTCAGTGAACCTCACCTGGTAAAATAAACATAGTAAATAGACAAAGACCCCCCCCCGCCCTCCCCGTATAGTCTTAAGAGACTGTTGGGGCAAGTGCTGTTAGCGAGCACCTATGAAGGCCGGCACTGTGGCACACGAGGGGGTGGGTGTTCCAGCACCACGCCCGACCGCTTTTATCTCCCCCAGCGGCTATGTTTACACACGGCGCCAGGTACTCACTCGCACACACGCACACACAGACAAAGACAGTGAACGCCAGAACTCGCCACCGCGATCCGAGACGCGACGCGTCGACTCCGTGACGTCGCCGCGTCGACTCCGTGACGTCGCCGCGACGGCTCCGTGACGTCGCCGCGACAACTCCGTGACGTCGCCGCTACGACTCCGTGACGTCGCCGCGACGGCTCCGTGACGTCGCCGCGACGGCTCCGTGACGTCGCCACGACGGCTCCGTGACGTCGCCGCGACGGCTCAGTGACGTCGCCGCGACGGCTCCGTGACGTCGCCGCGACGGCTCCGTGACGTCGCCGCGACGGCTCCGTGACGTCGCCGCGACGGCTCCGTGACGTCGCCGCGACGGCTCAGTGACGTCGCCGCGACGGCTCCGTGACGTCGCCGCGACGGCTCCGTGACGTCGCCGCGACGGCTCAGTGACGTCGCCGCGACGGCTCCGTGACGTCGCCGCGACGGCTCCGTGACGTCGCCGCGACGGCTCCGTGACGTCGCCGCGACGACTCCGTGACGTCGCCGTGACGACTCTGGCCCGTGTCCCCGCAGGCTCCAGGGGGAACCACCTCTGGGAGTTCATCCGCGACCTCCTCCTGCAGCCCGAGCAGAACCCGGGCCTCCTCAAGTGGGAGGACAGGCGGCAGGGCGTCTTCCGCTTCGTCAAGTCCGACGCGGTCGCCCGCCTCTGGGGCAAGAAGAAGAACAACTTGTCGATGACCTACGAGAAACTCAGCCGCGCCATGAGGTGAGGAGCGCTTACCCATCACGGCGTTTCCGCGATCGTCCTCGTTTTCTTGTTGTCGTCGTTGTTGTTTTAAAGCTTTTGTGACTGCATGGATTCATATTCTTTGTTCTTTCGGTAAAGTCACGTAGAAGGGAAATAATAAAATAATTTCGATTTAAGCTTTCGTGACTGCAGGGATTCATATTCTTGGTTCTTTCAGTAAAGTCACGTAGAAGGGAAATAATAAAATAATTTCGATTTAAAGCTTTCGTGACTGCAGGGATTCATATTATTGGTTCTTTCGGTAAAGTCACGTAGAATGGAAATAATAAAAGTAAAACATTTTCTTATTTCCCTTCTACGTGACTTTACCGAAAGAACCAAGAATATGTCGTCGTTGTTGTTGTTGTTTAAAGGAGGCCCTCCTGGGAAATCTGTCTCACCAGGAGGCATTCCAAGTCAGCGGAGTAATAGTACGGCACCCAATAGAATGCGTCTCCAAGCGGTTCACTCCCTCTTCCGTCACTGCGAAACATTCCTCTTGCTCCCCGTGGTACGACCCCGGTTTTTTGTATCTCGGCGGTGGCGGTGCTCGAGGTTCCGTCATGCTCCCCATGCCAGGGCATAGTTCTCTCCGAGTCCTCTCTCTCTGCAACATCCTCCGACCCGTCGCAGCAGCCCCAGAGTAACGCGAATGCTCCCCCCACGTCGCCGGTTACAACTCCCACGGGCACGACTCCTTCGGCCTGTCCCTCTTGGCCCCTCGACGGTCGTGTTCCCAACTTTTTTTGTTTCACCTTCTCGCCACCTGTGAATGAACCGTTTCGGTTTCCATTACCAAAGTCTCATCCTCTGACCCCCGCTGCCTGTTCGCCGGATTCTTGGCGTTTTGCGCAACGGGGGTTCCTGTGCTCGGCCACCGTGATTCAGCTTCATCGTCATCATCATCACCATTATTATTGTTGTCATTTATCAACTCCGGCATCTCTTTCAGAACTGACCTTTCACCTATTGTGCCACTATCGCCGTTTTTCCGCCCAAGCGTCGCTCAGCCCACAATATTTGTGGCTCGCCTTCCGTGACAGCGAAAATGCAATTTTTGTTCGTGTGCGTTTGTCCCCCTTTCATACCGCTGGCCTTTTACAACACGGGGTGACACGACACGCGACCTCGAAAGGCTTCAAAAGCGCGAGGGCGTTTACCAAACGCTGCTAAAGGCCGGGCGGGGGAAGCGGTGGCCACGTAACCCATCTTTATAGTCCCACTCGTGAATGGTTTCATGGGCCTGAGTGTGAACAAAGAGGCTCAGGAGGCATCAAAGCCGCCTTTACTGCACAGCTGTTAACTTTTTTTTACTTTAGCAGCGAGTATTATTTGTGGGGCGTTTGCTTTTATTTTTATTAAGCTGCAGTGGAGCGCAGTGAATCCGCTGAGCCGAGTTCCATTTCCGGTCACGGATAGCAATCAGCGGCGAGCGATAAACGAAACGATCCAGCGCCGCTCCCCCTCCGCCCACCTCACCTTCACCAACCCACACTGACCAGTTGGGGGGAAGTATGGTCAAACAACCGCCATGGCAGGCCCAGCAGCGTAGGAAGGCTTTCAACCAACAGGGGACCCTAACTCGTAAAACTCGAGGCGTAAATGAAGTTAAACAAAGCGTAACCAAGTGAAATCAAGTGTTACGGCAACTGAAGTCAGCAACGCACAAGCGGAGATTTTAAGAATTTATCATGTTCGCCATTAGCACCGCGTGATAACAGACGGACAAATAAATGAGTGTGACGTTTCAGGCAATGGCCCTTTATCAGATCCAAGAAGGCATGATTCACTGACTGTGTAGTTGCTCTTGGAAAAAGAACATTTCAGGAGACTTCACAAGCGAAAGCTTGTTTGGAGCTAAACAACGACAGCTGTCCACGAGTAGATTATTGAGCATCGCACCGATCAAAAGTTCATAATTTCTCCGACTCAAAACCTTTCCGTCGGGACTGCGTGAAACCTTGCAGCGTAAAGTTTGAGGTGACGGCAAAACCAGCAATAATAATTTAAATCGACAAAGCGCGCTTCCACAACTGCGATGGTCGAGGAGTGTGAACGCGTGGGTGGCCACGTCGCGAACTCGGCGAAAGCCGACCCTGCTTGATAGTGGGGGGGGGGGGGGGGGGAGAAAAAAACACCCCCCAAACATAAAATTGCTTTAGCCACGGTGGGGGGGGGGGGGGGTCGTTGTGCGGGTGTTGCTGGGTTGGTTGTGGTGGGAGAGGGCAGGGCACGAGCGAGTCCTGCAGGCAGAGATACGCACGCCCTCTCTCGCGCGCGCGCACACACGCGCACACACCAACAAAGATAAAGATCCCCCGTATAGCCTTAACAGACTGTAGGGGCAAGTGCTGTTAGCGAGCACCTATGAAGGCCGGTACGGTACATGAGGGGGTGGGTAGCCAGCACCACGCCCGACCGCCTTTGTCTCCCCAGTGGCGATGTTTACACACCGCACCAGATACTCATTTGAGGCTGAGTCGACCTAGTGGAGGGCCCGGGACCGGTTCAGATGTACCGTCACCGGTGTTGGCCGTGAGCGGGAATCGAACCCGGGTCGCCAGATTCATAGCGCAGCGTAGTGCTAACCGCCGCACCACCGCTCCTCGCACACATGCGAGCATTCACACACGCGCACACACACACACGAGCACACACGCACGCGCACACACACACGCACACACACGCGCGCACACACACACGCGCACACACACACACGCACACACATGCGCAGGACCCCCCCCCTCCTCCCCCCCCCAAACGTCGGTGGTATTGGCAGCGCCGTCGAGATAAGGCGGCGAAATAAACCGCAGGCGTCGAGCGACGCAAGCCCCCTGCTGCACTTTGCACGCGGCACACGAAGCCGCCTTCCACTCTTACTCATCGTGCTCGACAATAAGAGTGCGCGCTTATTCGCGACTACGCCAGGGTACATGCACAGAGCAGAAATTCAACGCATTCCTCGATAGGAAGGGGGCGGTGGCGAGTTGGGGAGGGGGGTGAGATAATCGAGGTGACATTTCCGGAAATCATCCGTTCTTCGCGGCAGAGACACGAACTGCGTTTACGATAACGGCATCTTTCTTAATAACAGGGGGTTTCCCCTTTTTTCTGGCGACAAAACCTTTCGCAAGGAATCATGTTTACATTAACCACAATACTTGCAGTCAAAATGCAAACAAACAAAAAAAACACTGAAATTGATGCATTGTTCTTGAAACTGATTGGTCCACACCAGAGACAGCTTTCCTTAGGGCCGAGTCTCATTCGGTGTTCGACCAAGTGACTATTATTTGTATTATATTTTGGTACTGGCAAAGGAGGCCCCGTGATGTAGATGCTTGCCCCGAGCTCTCATTACTCTGATGGTGCGTTGTCTTTGAGCTGTGCGCCTTTTGGCGTCATCTGGTCGAACACCGAATGAGACTAGGCTCTAAGAAAAGCTGTCTCTGGTGTGGATCAATCAGTTTCAAGGACAATGCATAAATTATCAGTGTTGTTTTTGTTTGCATTTTGACTGCAAGTATTGTGGTTAATGTAAACATGATTCCTTGCAAAAGGTTTCAGTTTTGTCGCCAGAAAAAAGGGGGAAAACCCCTATTAGTATACTTTGGTACTGGCATAGGAGGTCTCATGATGGCATCTTCCTTGTTGAATTCACGTTTTAATCGTTTGCAAATTGGTCGTATCCCGCACTTGCCGTTTTGTCCTGCAGTTACCGTGGGACAATGGGGAATTTTTATCCACGAGTCCCGTCACCAGATTAAACACGATGATGATGAATATGATGATGATGTGACAACTGTAACGATAGGCGGTCATCGCTTTCACGTGGGGTACTCCGACCTCGCCACTTCCGTTCAGCGCTTCCCTCCGCTATCCGAAGAGATTCGGAGCATCAATCGATAGCCCCCCACCCCCCGTCCTCTCTGAGATCACAAGAACTTGCTGGCGATGGCGATGGTGGGTGCTGGAGGAGACTCTGACCGCTCCGTGTGCTGCCTCTTGCGCAGGTACTACTACAAGAAGGAGATTCTCGACCGGGTGGATGGGCCGACGTCTCGTCTACAAGTTCGGACGCAACTCGAGCGGCTGGCAGGAGGAGCGCGCGTGATTGGTCGCCCTCCTACACAACACGTGCCGCGCACGGCACGCTGGTATCAAGAGGGGGGGGGGGAGGTCGGAGAAGTGGGGGTCGGGGGGGGGGGCAGCATTACGGTTAAAAAGGGTTTTGAATTTTGAGCCGGGGTCACACGAGATCCTGGGATCTGGGATGGAATTCGTGGCAAGACGTTGACCCTGTGAACGTTTCGAGTCTTGCAACAACAGCAACAGCAAAGAGACAGAGCTCCTCGACGGGAAAAAGGAAATACCCATCTCTGGTTATAAATGTGACGACGCACCAGCCATGCACTCACTCAGGAATCCTCAAACCCCATGCGGGTGACTGTTAGTTTTTTTTGTATCGATAATGTATTTTACGTTTTTTTAATCGGCCCTGAACTGCTTTGAGTTAATCAAGCTAGTCGTGATGAACGTTCTAATAATCTCTGCAAGACAGAATCAATGTGGTGAACACAATCAGGGGCATTTAAAAGCGATGAGATTTTATTTTTTAAACGAAGAAACGAGAATATATTGCTTGACATTTTTTTTTGTATATAAATACGCCTTTAATGTTAACTCAATAAGGAAATGTGCTCCCGTGTCAATATTGGCGACAGTGCCTTTTGTGAATAAGTTGACAGTTTGCACTGTGTAGAAACGTGGGATCGGGGAGGGGGGGTGGGAGGTTGAGGTGGTGGGATTGCTGTGTTCTGGAGAAGTTTAAGCCATAGGTTGGTGACAAAAGCAGTAGTCAGTCTATTTTATACATTTATTACTTTGCCTCTATTGTATGTTGCCTTTTCGCGGGTTGGGTATAAAAGAACATTATGTTAAATGTGCAAACTGAAAGTGGCAACGGCGTTGTTTTCCATAACAAAGGTTTCTTTGGGCGAGATCGCGTAAATATAAATGTGCCGTTAGACCCGCCACCACACAAGCGGTGTGTTGGGGAGTAACGAATGGACACGTTTTGTTAACGTGACAAACCTTACTAATTGGGTGCGTTTCGGGTGGTGGTGGGTTTAACGACACATTTATATTGACACTTTGTTACGAATAATATTGATCGCGAAAGCCTACGTGTTAGACTCGCTTTCTTTTCGTGGCCTCGGAGCCAGCCAATCTCAAATACTTAATTATAATTAGTTTTTATATTTGTACCACGGTGAATTTTATAAAGCCGAGCGTTTCTCCCCATCACTCCGGCAAAGCGCCGCTTCGAGTGGAGCCACGATGCTGACGCAGACTTCCTGCCGCGCTCTGTGCACACGCGGTGCTGAACGATGCCAACAAAGTAGACGTGCAGCTGAGCTGAGTTTGTTCATGAAGCGAGAGGCAAACGCCGCTGGGAATGCGGGTTGGCCTGTGGAGAGTCCACTGACCGACGAAATGGAATGCCGATAATTGTTTTTTTACCCTTCTATCTGGCAACAAAACTGACACCTTTTTACAAGGAGTCATGTTTGCATAGACCACAATACCTGCAGTCATAATGCAAACAAAAAACATAACTCTGATAATGTGCACTGTCCTTGAAGTTGATTGGTCCACACCCGAGACAGCTTTCCTTAGAGCCTAGTCTCACATGGGTTGGACCAGATGATGCCAAAAGGCGCACAACTCAAAGACAATGCACCATCATTTTTTACTGGCAAATGAGGTTCCAATAGTGAAATGGAATGCCGTTTAACGTCCGTGACGAAACGACCCCCCCCCCCCCCCCCCAGCTTTTCCATGAGCCCCTGTGTCCTTTTTTGTTTGTTATCATGTAATGTACGGCACTTAGCCTATCCACTGCTGGATAAAGGCCTTCCTCCATAGCCATGTGGGTCTTGTCACGTCGTTGCGCCATGCTTCGTCGCCATGCTCGTCCGTACGGGTTGAGCGAAGTGCGGAAAGCCCAGCGGCCGGTACCGATAGAACTCGTCACGATTGTTAGCCGTGGCAGGCAATCGAACTCGGGTCGCAGAGCTGAGAGCGCGGTGCGCTAACCGCCGTGCCACCGCTTCATCCATAAGCCACCGAAGGCAGCTTTGTAATTTAAGTTGAATCTTGCAACGAGCACCTTAGTGAGAGTGCCTTTCGCTTAACCTGTGCAAGTCTTACTGTGTTTGTTTCGGCCACAACTTTAGGTAACGTCCCATGGTGGCGAGATGTTTACTACCTCGCCTGGTATGCAGGAGGTCGTGGGTTCAATCCGGACCCCGGCCCCTGCTGTATATATGGAGTTTGCGTGTTCTCCCTGCGGTCGCATGGATTTACCTCTGGGTCCTCCAGTTTTTCCCCAACACATTTAGAATCAACATGCGTTGAGAGTATTTGGCAGCTATAAATTTCCACATAAGCCACTTCATTGAGCCTTTCATTTGTGGTCAGCTCGCTTCTGAAAACAAGCAACACAGCTCAATGAGCCTTACCTGGTAAAAGAGAAAACAAAATTAGTTGATAGTGTTAAGCTTTCAAAGCGACGCCACAAACACAAAGCACTCGCGACCCACTCGCGGCGATCGCCGCTGGAGGGATGGTGGAGAGGCAACGTGTACATACGAGCATTCGAGACCCTCCAACGATGTGTAAATGCTGGCGTGCGTGTGCATCCCGTAAACGTTGACAGGGGTCAGGGAACCCAGCGCCAAACGAGAGCACATTAAACCGGTGTATGAAAGAGTAAGCATTTGTGCTACTTATAATAATGCAGTGTTCGCTGCTAACCTTTGTACATATTTTTGTTATTTCCCCCCCCCCCCCTCGCCTACTGGGCTGTATTATAATGGCAAATTTTTTTGTTTTGTATCGATGCCTAAACCTGTACGAAATAAAGAAGAAATTTGTAACGGTCTTGGCGTGGAACGCGTTGTCCCTCCCGTTTCGCGACGTCGTGTTTGGCCGTCACTAAGCGGTGAGTAGCGTGCTGGGCTTGACCCTTCAGAGGGGTCGTCGGTTCCATTCCATAGGCGCGGCAGTCGAAACGATGGAGCCATAATCTTTGGTTCTTTCGGTAAAGTCACGTGGGTATAAAATAAAATAAATCACGACGTTTCGAACGCAACACAAGCGTTCGTCTTCAGGTGAAAATCGCGATAGACCGCGATGTCTGCTGCGAACAGCACGATGTCTGCTGCCTTGTGAAGAGAAGCTGTCACCAGCAAGAGTTTATATAAGTTTTTTTTAGAACAAAGGTAGCCGAAGTAGTGTTAATGGGGTAATTATAGTGTAAAGGTAATAAATAGCGTGGCATGTTAAAGGAAATGAACTTAGGCGAGCATCTTGATTTGAAGCTTTCGTGACTGCAGGAATCCATACTCTTTGGTTCTTTCGGTAAAGTCACGTAGGTAGAAAATAAAATAAAAACGACGGAGCAAGTTTCGAAACCGCTCCCCACTCCACACACACACACACAACCGCCCAGCAGTATATAATACAGGGACACCACAGGTCAATCGCAGGCCACGTGTGGTGGCGTGAAGTGTGGGCCACTGCCAGATCTTCCGAGACGTGTGGGCCAGCTTGCAAACGGCAGCGGCCGAAATAGAGCGGGTGCCTTTCGCCAGCATTGGCAAGTTGGAAGAAATCGCAGTCCTGCACCTTTACGATGAGTGCCCACAACTTTGGTATCCAACTCACATTGGCCAACGCAATCATTTCCACGCTTGCGAGAGTAAAACTTGGTAACAGAAGAGAACACACACAGAGAGTTTGGTACGTTACACCCTTTCTCAGTCACGGAAAAAAGCGACGGAGCGTTTTGCATACTGCGCAAATAACCTCTCCCCCCCCCTCACTCGTCTTCACTAAGCCACACTGACACAGCATGGTGAGGTATGGACAAACCAACATCCACGTCCAACACAGCATTCAGAGGAACTTCATCCTACGGGCTGTAAATTAGTATTATTTTATAAATGTATATCCCTATTATTAATTACTAAAATCAAACGCTTTTTTGGAATGGAAGGGTTAATACTAGTCGAAGGAACTACAACCAAATTTTGGATGTTTTTATAGAATTTCGCACGGGTTGTACGTCTAAACTAAAACTATTAAATTTTATTTTACCAGGTAAGGCCCACTGAGCTATGTAGCTCTTTTTCAAAGCGACCTGACCACAAATGGTAGCTCAACGAAGTGGCTTATCGCGTGGACATTTATATCAGCCAAATACTCTGAAACGCATTTTCTTAAACGTGGTGGGAAAAACGGGGAGACCCGGAGAAAAATCCACGCGACCACGGTGAGAACACGCGAACTCCAAATATACAACAGGCGTCAGAGTCGCGATTGAACCCGCGACCTCCTGTATACCAGGCGAGGTGGTTAACATCTCCTAGCCACCGTGGCGCCCCACTCACAGCAGTTGACACGGTGCACGTGAGTGTTGCCTCTGTATCGCCTCCAACACAAAACACAGTTTGGAAGTCACGCACGTGACAGCATGCGCGCGCTTCGCTACATCATTAACAGCACCCTCAGCGCGTTCATTCATCTCGCCGGCTAGGGTCCGACGATTATGGAGGCTGGGTGTTAAAAAAAAACCAACAATTCAGTCGTTTCCATTGCTTGCCGTGAGTTTAGGCCGGCGAGCGAGAGTAGAAATATATTCCTCTCTGACAAAAGTCGTTTTCCCTTCAACAGAAATGTCTCCATTATTGCCAAAACAGTTTCAACCCATACTGTAAGCCTGAAAGCGATAATCATAAGACAAATTAAGAGAAAAAAACAAACACTGAAAAGTGCACAAAGCACCATTGAGAAAATGCGTGCTCGGATATACATTGAGAATTTTGGGAGGTCCTCATTCAGCAGTTGACCGATCATGGCTGATGACAATTGCAGTTTGTTTATCTCCCTTGATGCAGCGTCTACATTACCCACAACATTCGCCTTCAATAACACGCAGGCCTGTGACTTCACCCACCACGTGTCGCTCTCACTGATAAGAGGCCGTATTTAGAGGAATTCACCTTGACTGCTGTTTTTGGGTAGAAGTCGAAAGACAGCATGACTCACTTTAAATGTTTCGTTATATAATTCAACATCACCATTAGCCATGGTTAATCCAAAGTCAGTGTCATGGAGACACACTAAACACTGGGGGCATTTTCCAGAGGATCACAGTTCGTACCCAGCGGCCGTCCTCAAAATTTACTTCGGGGGTAATAAGCGTGACGAGGAGTATTTACACTTACTAATATCGTGCCTGTCGCGCCGAGATCCCTGAATGAATCGCAACTTACGTGAATAATTATTACTACTACACGCACAAATCTGCTTCACAGCGGACATTAACGACCCACTGACGTCATTCACAAGAGGAGGCCCTCGTGTGTCGGTGTCCAAACTTGCCTAAAAAAACGACACTAAGTAACTCAACTGGGATTGTACATTGGGATGAAATTGGCAGACTAATTCCCAAGGTCACTTGCAACCGAGAATATCCTGGTGTCTTGAATTCTCACCCGGTTAAAGAAAACAAATACTTGAAACTAGGATGAAGGCCTCCCACACCTGCCGGCATCATCTCTCAAAATCCTACGAATAATTCACCCACCACATGCAGCCACAAGCTGATTTCATGGACGATTTTACTTGAGTTGATGTCCTCTTTCCATTCCTTGGCTTTCACACCGCGATTATAATTGGCCATTGACCATCATTCCTTCTCGCCGTGTCCTGCCCAAGCCGCTTACTTTCATTACGTTTGCGTCTTCAACCTGTGTATGTTTAAAATCACTGCGAAGCTTATTTTCCTTCATTGTCAAAACAGTGTTGACCTCTTGTCGATTTAACAAATATTTTCACAATTGCTTAAACAAAAAGTGTTACATTCAATGTACAATACAAGTTGTATTCATGTGCAAAATGCATAACACGCCTGCTAAGAATACCCACAACGACTGACATCGCAAGTCTGGACTTCCAAATTCCAAGAAAGATCATTCAAATTCAGACGCTCTTATTTCCAGCAATCAGCGAAACACAAAGCAAAATAAAACAGCTGAACCATGCAGTGGTGATTTTATCAGTTTTTTATTAACAGAGACACCGATGAAAGGGAGCATTTGGCAATGTGAACATCGGACCATACACATCTCAAAATCATTTGTACCACAGCAATGCAGCGTATGAATAACCAAGAACTATTGCCACTAAAGCCTTCCTCGATTTACGGAGCCACATACCAAGATTCGTAAGAGGTGCAGAAGCTTGAGGTGCAGCCGAGTGATGACTCGCACCACTGCTGGCAAGAGGGCGTCCGCAAAACATCCACCACGGAGCCACCTCCAGAGGGTATTTGGCCTACTCTTCCGCACTGGCATGGACATTTTGGAAGGGGTAGCAGTCTGCACAAATCACCCCACCACACGCGACCTACCGAACAATTAATGACATCGTTGGAAAAGAAAACTAAACAGAAATTTTAACCACCCTCATTTAATAGCGCAACCTCTTTTACAGCTCAAGAAAACAATGCGGTGTGCAATTGCATTTTAGATTGAAGGGTCAAAATAATGCCCCACTGAGTGGCCTCATTACAGCACCTGGGCTATATGTCACCAAAACACAGTGCCTTTCTTTACTCTCCATGTACACCACCCCCCCCCCCCCCCCCCCCCCCGCTGGGCCACATTCACCAACTCTATCCCCATCACTATGTACAATAACGTCTGTAGGCAGGGCAGTCTCAAGTTGAGCCACGGACCATTTAGCTTGCCCGGGGACATTCATTCAATGGGCATGTTTGTACATGTTCGTCTTGTTTGGACACTCCACTTTCCATCAGGAGCTTTGTACGCAATTAAAATATAGCATTCGATCATTTACATCGCTTTGTCCACCAATCATTGGGATGAAGGCTTCCCCAACGCCACAATGGTGAATTAGGTTGTTTGACCCTACTTCACCACGCCGGTTGGTGAAGGTGGTGGTGGTGGTTTGGGGGGGCGGGTGTGGAGGTAGGTTTCAGATATCACTTGCCACCGATGCTAGCTGTGCCCAAGAATAGAGCCGAAGTGGCCGACTTCACGGCGCAGTGTGCGAGCCAATGCACCGCACAGGTTACATTGGTTGTCTGCATACTCTCTGTACACGATAGTGCGTCTGCGTGTATATATGGGGGTGGTGAAAGGGTCTTGCGAGTCTAATATAACTCCCAGCAACATTACGATGTTATTAGTGCCCACAGATGGGGCGTCGAAGTAGGCCTACAATTAAGTTGTGCAGGGGGCTTTTTTTTTTTACAGGCGTCTTTCTCAAAATACTGTGGCTGCTACTTGAATGAGCAATATAAACAAAATTATAGGTCTGCTTTCACAAATGTTCCGCAGACAATGTATGCACAAAAAGACAAAGAACCCCTGAAGAACTTCTGCAAGACTGTTGGGGCAAAGTGCTGTTTACGAGCACCGATAAAGGCTGGCACGGTACACAGGGGGGTTGGGTGGTTATCGCTACGCCCTACCGCCTTTGTCTCCCTCGTGGCGATGTTTACACACACCAGGTATTCACTTGAGGCCGAGTCGACCTAGGGGAGACCCATGACCAGTTCAGATGTTCGTCACTGGTCTTGATGGCCGTGAGCGGGAATCGAACTCGGGTCACCGGGTTCATCGCGCAACGAGCTAACCGCTGCACTACCACTCCCCACCGTACACAAACACATATGTAGAGCGTACATATTGCACGCAAACAGGATGGAATTACCGTCAATGGGTGCAAAGGGACGTTGAAAGTCATTCGTGTTAATTCCTTCACCGGAGGACGCATTCAATTCAAGACGCAATTCGACGGAGCTCTTGTAGTTTATGCGAAGGACCCTGGCTCACAGTAAGTGGAGCGACCAATAATTAGCAGTGTAGACAAACTAAGATCAATCAAGTAAAGGTGGCCAAGTGTTATCGAGTTTGTTGATGATAAAAAAAACAAGTACGATGCACGACGCTCGCAAAACACGGGTCCATGGAGACGCGAGGTGCCGCGTCTTCGAAGTGGACACCTTCGGCCTGGGTCGGCGTGACCAGGAGGAATTGGATGTCACAAATAAAACGCGCAATTTCGCAATCGCTCAAAACCCTTAAAGAAAAAAAACCTTTTAAAAGCAACTGGACCCGTACGCCTTCATGCTTGCAAGAGTACACACGTGTACACAGACACACCAAACGCCACTGCACGCGTGCAAACTGCTAAAAAGTTTGTTTCTGAGGACATATTTTTGGTTAAAAGACCCCACCGGGACTGGTTTCATGCTTGTTACGCAGAGCTTCTATGAGGTTTTAATGCGTCGTGTTTGCCGTTTATTTCCCAATGTCAATAATGCTCAATCCGGCACCGTGTCAACTTTCACCGTGCCGTTTTCTGGACCTCCACCAAACTGTGATGCAGATGGCTCCCCCGAGACACACCGAAGACTGGTGCTGCTGCTGCTGCGTAGGTTTTCTCGCGGTTGTGCTGTATAAGCTTTCGGATGTGTTTTCGGGTTCTGCCATTTACTCGCTTGCTGCAGAAGCTCCCAGGACGTGGAACGAAACGTCGGACGTCATGCCGACCAACATTTGGTATGAATTAAGCAAAAACACAATGGACAGCCACTTCATGTCCTTGCTGTAAGAGGAGGCCAATAATGACTAGTCGTGTAGCGATGCATCAATTCATCAACAGATTCTCAAGCGAACAATACATGGATATAGTTTTATATGCAAGAACCACTGTCGGTGTACACATTGCACTTAGTTGATTGAGGACTCCTCCAGCCACTAGAGGCCACTACATTCAGCACACTGTAAAAAATTAAAGAATTGATAATTGAATCTCATCGCAAACGTGAATCGCAACAATTAATTGAATGGGATTCAGGGGTTAGCATTATTATATGTGGGATAGAGAATAATTTAGTAATTTAGAATCTTATCTTAAAGGGATGTACAGAGTGTCTTTAGCAAGGCGTTTTACAGCATTCATAAAATTGTACATAGTATGATAGCAATTTGAAATAAAGAATTGGGTTATTGTAGTTTCGATGCAGTAAAACAAAAGGGATATTGATAAGGAGGTATTGGGATAGGCCTGGTCGTAGTTCGGGGGGGGGGGGGATGACAGAAAACTGGGCAGCTGAAAAGTAATCAGGCATCATTGCAACAATTAACGTTTACGGAACAAGTGAGAACTCAGAACCTGGGACAGCCAAAATATTTCAAAAACAAAAGCGTGCAATTTGCCTGCCTCTCATTACGCACCCGTTGGATGTCTGTGCACGAATGACGAGCGGAGCGGCAGAGAATTGTGACGCTCATTAGTTGAACTTAGCAGAATAAAATACAAAGAAACCACCCAGGTGTGCCTTTAAATCGAAAACTTGTTTATTGAAGAGTAACGCAAAACGTTGCAGTGGACAGCTAGCTATAGACACCAGGCTTACAAAAGCAAAGACATGAACACAGACCTCAGGAATTATTTTTTAAATGGCCAAGAATAAGTAGTAGAAGAAGAAGAAAAGTGTTGCACGGTCACGTTTTAGTTTTCGGTGATGTCAGTTTGGACGTTAAATATATATCCTCAACACTAATGGTGTTAGCGATAAGCTCCAGAGAATATCACATCTCCAGTTGCAAATAAAGATGCATTAATGGAGGCTCACATCTACGCATGCATCAATGCCACATCATGACACATCCACCGCATTTATACAGCTGAAAACGAGGGACCGATAGGCAAAAACAGAAACCCAAAGTCATTCTTTAAGGACACGGAATGTGACCTTCCAATGAGGTTTAAACAGCAACAATGTATTCTCTTGCACCTTAACCCTGTACACACGTGGGATTGGGGCACCCGGCTGGTCACCTCCAGATACGAAGGATACTTTACATAATCGTGGACTTGGTGGAATCAAAGGATTAATTCACTCCAGTGGTATTCACTGCCTCGTCTTTAGAGCCTCCACCAGCCTGTCGAAGCGCACACACGCACACACACAAGGCGACAGAACACCGCGTATTAGGAGGCAAAGTACACAACCTACATTTACCTTGAGCTCACTAGCACAAAGGAGCATCGCTGTTTGCTTCATTCAAACTGCACCTGTCCTCCGTTGACAAGTGCATGAGTAACAGAGGTGCTCGTGACAGCAACAGCTATTGTGGCATAGTCAGCAACTGCTCTACTTTATGGGTGGCTGCGGCGATGGAAAGAGGTCATGCTCCCAGGATGCGAAGATGTGCATGCAGAACCTTGGGAGAGAAAAGGTGCCAGATGTCATATTTGTGAGTTGCTCGCAAAAGGGCCTACCACTCCATGGCCTCATCGAGCCCGGTCCCCTTGGTGGCGGACGTCTTGAAGATCTGCCACTTGCGGTCCTTCAGGGCGGACAGGCCCAACGAGTTGGCCACCTCGGTGGGTGTCATTGCCTGCTCCATGTCCTGCTTGTTGGCGAACACCACGAGGATGGCCTTCTTCAGCTCTTCTTCCTGCAGGGGTTGGCACACACAGCAACAGCCGCCATTCGCGCCATTACGTGACAGTGACGTCGCCATAACAATTGTGCCAGGGTAGGTGCACTGAGGCCCCGTGAAAGGCTCGCTTCCGGCAGGAGGTCATGGGAGAAACCCATAGGTTACAGGTTAACGGACTGAAATGAGTGGAAAATGCACCATCGGTGCTCCGCACTGTGTCAACTTGCGATGTTTTACTCAGCCAATGCCCTGCTCATTGTGAGAATCAGTTTCCTGCCCTCCGTTATTATTGGGAAGGGCGATCTTGACATTGCTGGCACCAGCCATCGGAAACCCCAATCAGCTCCGCATCCTTCTGTACCGCATCGGCCCATCTCTTCTCCAGCCTGTGCCGTACCCATTTAACCCCCTTGATCTGGCCAAACGGAAGCTGCTTAAGGCTTGTGGTAGTTGGGCATATAGGCGACATGACACAGCCAATGCAACCCCGCCTGTCAGAAGAACTTACTGATGGGACTTTGTCCATCCAGATCCCATTGGCATGCACACACGCACACACACCGTGACTTATTATCTTCTTATATAGCCCTCCTGTCAATCAAGTGCTGGAAGAGAGCCTTCCTGCACCTTGTGGGTCACGGGGGGATATTTGACCACACTGCACTGTGCTGGTCAGTGCAGGTTGGTGAAGGTGAGGAACAGACGTTGGAGCATAGTGCAGTACAACAATGTATTTGGCTGTCAACCTTGCCCTAGAGCAATATAAAACACCCGTTTTTATACACGTTGGGCACCCATCCAAGAACTATCCAGTCTCCATTCCTGCTTAGCATCTGCAATCTAATGTTTGATTAAATCTTCATTTGCATATTTAAAAATGCAAATGCAGACAATCAAAAGTACTTTTTCCAAGTGCAAAGAAAGCTAAACATTTCCATTATTTGTAAAATAAACAATTTGACACACAACAAACGTTCTCAAAAACGCACAGCGTTTGGTTCAATTTTGATTTTATCAGCCCAAAATCAGCAATGTTTGCTGTCAAGCTAGCAGCGCATACACACCACAAACATGGTTCGCCAGAAGTGGTCAGTGATTTTTGCAGGAGGGGCCCACGCATTTCTTTCACATCACAAGCTCTCAATGTCGAGGGGGCAGGTGCCTTCAACCTCAAGTTAATACTTATTTGTCCGTCTCAATTCTCTCACACGTTTACTTCTGGGAATAGAGCGAGGGAACTACATCAAGGCAACCCACGTCAGCATTGCAAGTGCATCAATGCTATCAGATCAAGTAAAACCGATCTCGTAGCACGCATTCCTTTACCTCAAGCACCCGATTACGATCTCGCGATCGTAAATGCAGAAGCTCGCATGATGCCATTCTGCAGAAGAATCCTCTCCTTAGAAATTATAATTTCGGCACCAGTAAAACTTTTAAAGGCCTCGTTAAAACATTTTCATAAGCGTGTCCCTATTTTGGCAGTGACGACATCGCACAGAGTGAAATGTGGACACTTTTAATAGCCTACTTCTACCATTCTTTGCCAAACATCCACGTTAACCCATTCCTAGCCAAAGCGTAAAATAAAGCACTCGCTCTGTACGTCTCAAAGGCACACTCAAGCTCTTGGGTTGTGCAATTGTGAAGACGCACTAAGACGCATTCGCAGTTTGTCCGCCGAAGCTTATTCCACGTCCAGCGAATGACCAGCCACACGCAGAGAAAAAAAAAAAATAATAATTTGGCATCGAAAAAATGCGACTGCAATTTGGGGAGATTTAGAGTTGAACAAGAGCTCGACATTCTGCAAGCACAATTTCACTTCCCTAAACTGTCCGTGCCCGCACGGTTATCACCGCCTCGCACGCCTCGTCCGGCCATGTCAAACCAAAACCACGACCAGCTGAAGCACAGAAACTCCACGAATTACTTTCACAACACAACGCGCACGCCACAGTTACAAGAACGCATGCCTATCCAGGTTTGTGAAAATCCCACTCGTAATTTCTGACGCCTCTTTTTTAAGTGTTAACGTAAATAAAAAACACGCTGGCTTGTATTCTGCGCACCAGGACCAGCAATTGGTTTATTTATCTATCACACACGTGTAAAACTGTTCACGCTGCCACGAGTTCGATTACGGGGAATACGGCCGTAATTGTGGGTTGATCTAGTGGAAAATATTTAAATACTCATCAACGATGCATGGGAATTTTATATTTGTTAATCTCGATCCACACCCTGAAAAAGTATCCACAAAACAGTACACGTGCTGTGAATCAGAATGTCGAAGCCCAATTCAAAATGAAAGTCTTAAAAAAAACAACTAAAGGCACTTTGGCAGCGAGATGTGCGGAAATAAGGGCTATGATGAGAGTCATTATTTTGAACAGGTGCGCAAAGTCACGGCAATGCAACGATGAAGCATTCTTCTTTGGTTCTTTCGGTAAAGTCACGTATAAAGAAAAGAAAGAACCAAAGAATAATTCCTGCAGTCACGAAAGCTCCAAAGTTAAGATGAAGCATTCGTCTTTACATGAACAGGCGGAAGGAATGACGGTAGTTTGCATAAGGGGAGCAGTACATAAGTGTCACTGCATTTTATCCTGTCATCATCCACATTATCTTCACAAAGTGCAAGATTTGCATCTACCTGGCCAAAAAACTTGGCCATCATGTTTAACTACCTATAGCTTTAGAAATGTCTTGTCTTTGCATGACAAACATATTTTTGACACGTTCGAAAACTAAAATAAAGTCTGTTTCAGTGGTACTGGCCGGCAAATTCCACGCGAATGGGTTAGGGTTACGCGCCGGGATGAGAGACGGGTTCCCTTTAAAAGTTCCGACCATTTCGACAGATGCTGGACAGCAAGGATGTGAAGCACGCAATTTCTCACAGGGCCTCGTTCATATTTCGCAAGATATTGGGAAAGGGCATGTGAAACTCGCTGTGCCTCAGGCCGGTTGTGGAAGTATACGGTCCCACGGATCTATTGCCAATAAAACCACAGTTGGCACAGCCGGCACACACTGGAAAAAAAACTTACCGCAACGGCTAACGTTTATCTCAATGCAGCATAATCTTACCTGGTCAGCACTTACGATAGCTCGATTAACATTCAACCAGACCTCAATCAAATCGCCAGAAACGGTAAAGCACTGTACGATTGTAGATGGGTAAATATCTCAAAGTAAAACACACACACTTAACCTGTGAGTATTTAATTTTCTGCACAATTGTGACATACAAATGTTCAAAAACGCTGGTATACAGACGTGGGCGCACACATGCAAACTGTGGTTAACAGAGGCAGAAACAAACCCGCAAACATAACTGCAAACTAAAAGCGCACGCAGCTCACCTCCAGCATGGCCACGAGCTCAGACTTCGAGATACCCATGCGGTCACGATCGCAGCTGTCGACCACGTAAATGATGGCGTCCGTGTTCGAGTAGTAGCAGCGCCAGTAAGGCCTGCGTGAGATGGACATTAACATCGGAGAGGCATAAGAGTAAAACTAGTAATAAACGTCACGAGTTCATTCAGGCAAGCCTTGGCGAGCCTCAAGACTTTTTCAGAAGGATCCTGCACTGGGAAATTTAGCCGATTATTTTTTATATATATGCCCAGATCTTGTCACTCCACTGCTGGATGAAGGCCTCCCCACGCCGTGTTAGTTATGGGGACTGTTGGGCCCTATGTCACCATGCTCGTGGATTGGCGAAGGGGGTTGGGGGTTGCAAACGACCAGTTCGGATACCACTCGCCACTGATGTTAGCCAAGGCCAGGAACCCAACTCGGGTAGCTGGGTGTTTATCATTTGCTAATAAATCAGAGGACCTAGAAATCCAACATGGAAGGGGATAACTCTGAAAGATCCACACAGATGGGATTAAGATTACATTGCCGAAGTGCCATCTCCCGTCCACTTGGCAACCCAAAGCTACAATACCTGGCTATTCCTCAGCAGTTTCCCATTCAGGTGCTAACCAGGCTGAACCTGCTTAGGTCCCAATATCTGATGAGATTGGGTGCATTCGATGTGATTTATTCTTTGATATGGATTTGTCCAACATTCCAATGCAGGACCCTCCTGAAAAATAGTTTTCAGAGTCAATGAAGTGGTCTTCAATAAATGAATGACATTGCACTATTAAATGTGCATTCCAAGGATCATGCAATATAAGCTACAATTATATGAACAGAGGACTGAAGGAGACACAAAACAAAGTTATATTATAAAGCATGAGCCAGCAATGTGAAATATACATCATATGCTCGTTGCCAAAATGTTTCCATATAGTTGTACGATGTTTACATTTTACGTTATTACTTTTAAAGTGTTGTACCTCATTTAATAGTTTGTTGATCACCTTTTTTTACATCTACAAGCACTCCATACATATTCACCACAATCGATTTCTTTAACATGGCTTGCCATAGGACATTACAAGAGCCAAACAAATGGCCTTATTAGCCAGGCAGCAGTGATGTCCATTTGGTTTACAGCCAAGAGGAGACAGCCGTGCCCGATGACCTCACCTGATGCTGGTCTGTCCTCCAAGATCCCACACTTGGAACCTCAGATTTTTGTAGGTCACAGTCTCAACATTGAATCCAATGGCTGGGGAGAACAAAACAGAGGGAGTGGAGAAACACAGAGAGACGCACAATGAAACAGCTTTAAAGCCATTGACATATTTCATCATCATCAGTCATGAGCCACGGTAGTTTAACATCAATAATCTAGAGGAGAAAGCGGCCAGCTGATTTTTGACCAACTCGAGTAACAGATTCAATTGCCTGTACACGCGCATTGATGAGATAGATGTCACCTCTTTTCAAACAATGTATTAAGTACAACATTAATCGATAGTGGGTGGGAGGGGAAGGTTAGAACAGGGGTCAGCAACCTACGGCTCTGGAGCTGCATGCAGCTCTTTAAGGATTGTTTCGAGATGTTACTTATCAAGCACCACAGTCTCGTACTCGCATGCACTGCGGCTCTTGAAATTGTTTTTACCCAATTAAAAAAAACAGGCTCTTCTTGATATTTTGGTTGCCGACCCCTGGGTTAGAAAGTAGATAACAAATTGTCCAACATATTTATGTCAGGGCTAAATCAAACCGAGCTCATGGACAGTCTTGGGCAATCGTTGGCTCACTGCCACCTGGGTGCTGCTGTCTGAGTTGCCTCCGAGTTGCTCTACTACTGTACGCTGCGTTGCAAATCAAAATGATGAATTATTACGAGAAAGAATACAATTGTGCACACGTATATGTACAGCCCTTTTGTCAATCCACGGCTGGATGAGGGCCCTTGCCTACGTCGTGCGGGCAGTGGGAGTTGTTTGATGACGTCACTGCACGGTGCAGGTTGGCGAATGTGTTACAAAGTCTCGTTGACAATAAGCAATGTCGTCAGGACTTGCGGAATGTAGAGATTTTTTAACAAAAATTATTCTCCTCGACCGAGTTTGTCAACAGGTTCAGAGATTTGAATGTGTGATAGATAGACATCAACAATGATTCCATCTCACTGGTTATTTTACACAAGCTGCAGTTTGAGATGTTGTGCAGTCAGTACTGTACATGTTTGCTCATTAATAAAAGATTATTTATTTGACAATTTTAAAACTTCCTCTTTTAAAGTGAAAAAGTCTAATCAATTATACCAAATATATAAAAAAGAAAAATCAGAGATGTTTTTATGATAGAACTTATTTCATCTGGCCATCCCTTCGGATGGAACATCTCATTTGCCAAGGTGTCATTGGGTGTTAAGTGACACACGTACAGCAAACACGTAAATTACGTGTGTACCAACATTTTAAATTTATAACTTGTACAATGAACTTGACAGCCAAACACATGCATCCATAAATAAGCGGTGCTCACCGCCAGTGGCTGTAGCACGAGCTCTCACTGTAACAGTTGTAGACGTTGTGCAAATGGCATTACATTTTTTTAGTCAAATATTTAGGTAAGTCGACACTGGCGGCATATGTAACGTGCCCAATGAAGCAGCTCTGTATGCGGGAGAGTTTGTACTCGAGTCATGTTAAAAGCATTGCGATTTCGGGACAGAAGAGCAGCGTTATTGTTGGGAGTCAAAGGACAGCTGCTCAGCTAAGTAAAAAGCACCATTTTGATGCGTACACTTGCCCAGTGGACTACCTTCTATTTTGGGGGGACAGCCATGTCAAGCTATTGTACATATTCCATAGTTACATTGTCAGCTATATCTGCAAAAAGAATGATAGACAGTTTCTACCTTTTTAAAGGAAAGTTTACGAGGCAGCAGAACAAACGTCAGCAGAACATAGTCGAGTAATATTATAATTAGCGTGTTTTGCACGTTAATTTCATGCGACAGTGACACTCACTCTAAGCACAAATGACCACACTATGTCTTCTCGGCCTGTGTGTATGCAATATTGACCTCAGACAGGGGTCATTTGGTCTAAACGGTGAATGGAAAAAAAAATGTTCAGTTGCAGCACAAAACCAAAGCTGCGTGGGTGGGATGGTGGGGAAGGGTGGCCCCTATGTATGCCCAATTAATACACGGCGTGAAAACTGGGCACAAGTTGCACTATTGGGGAGTTTCTGACGAGATTACTTATATCAAATCACACACAAACGCACAAGCAAACGGTGCTGGTGTGGTCACACCATTCAAGAATTGCTGTTTGTGAGCGACCATTGATGTTGGAGTGGCACATGGGCGAACAGACAGGCCAGCACCACAGCCACAGCTTTGTCTGCCCAAGCCACTGTTGACACACCTGCAATGGGCACGCACAGTTTAAGCCGAGTCAAATTAAAGATGTGAGCCAGGTGTGAACGCCGGTTGTCAGCGGCGTGCCAACTTGGATATCCAACCATGAACACAAGCACTGAGGGACGGTGTAGAAACGGCAAGCACAAAAATGTATTTACGTGTACACATATAAAACAAAATCTCGAACGTTTTATCTTTTATCGTACAGTCCCTTTGTCAATGCATGGCTGGGTGAAGGTTTACCCCATGCCGTGTGAGTCACGAGGGCCGGTATGACCATACTTCCCCACACTGGTCAATGCAGGTTGGCGAAGGGGGGGGGCAGTTAAGATATCACTTGCCATTTATGTTACGCATGAGCGGGAATCAATCTGCATTAAGAAGATTCAAAGTGCAGTTCGCCAACCTCTGCACCAGCACGTTACATACTTAGTAAAATTTCAAATTTCTGAATCTTGGCGGCAATGAAACAAAGTGGTTTTGAGCGAAATCCAAATTTCAGCAGCAATTTGGATTTCACTCAAAACCACTTTGTTTAAAAAGTGGCTCGTGTTTCAGCTGGGGCGACACCATGGATCACGTCGCAAGCAGAGCAGTAAGCAATGTATAACTCGGGACAAATATTGAAAGATTGCCAAAAGAACGTTGCCGTACGACATAATTCTGACAAAAATGGAGGGCCACTCAAATGGTCCGTGCTGATGCGATAGGAACAAATCCCCATTCAAACATAGAATAGCACGCATGCCTGCCATGCGAGCGTGTCACACACAACACCCAAAAATCTAGGCACTGAAATGCTTAAATGACAATGCACTTTCTGCTTCGTCCAAGCCAAAAAATGTTTACACCACCTGCTACAGCACGCACTTCCTTTCTGGCAGGCAGCATTACCCTGACTTGCTTATGCAAATTATGTATTTAAATGAATGCCAACAGTGAGACAATTAGAGGTGGGGGGGACCATTCGACACCAGCAGTGGTAAAACTTTCTACACTCAGCTTCCCAGTATTTTGGCCTGAACTGTAAGAGGCAATAAAATATACGCTGATCAAACAGCAAGCAACACAGAAATGATGAGGGATTAACTTGACAAGGGGACGCTGACTGTGTTTGTGGTCAAAGCAAAGGCACTGGGTCTCCTGTGTGCTATGTGTGTTTGTACTTGCACGGGGCAGTTAGAGTCTGGCTTAAAGGCTGTCCGTTCTGGACTCATTGCTTTTGTTATAGGGTCCACAGTATTTATGAATAATGGCAAAGGCGCAGCCCTGCAACTGCTTGTTCAGGCCACTGCTGGTGGAAGGGTCTCCGCTACAGGGAGTTCTGGTGGGCCCTTTCGGGAGTATGCTGACCTACTCTTCCACGCTGGCCAAATGTCTTGGTAGTGGTGGGAGTACCCACACGCTTTCGTCCACCATGCCACACCTACGGTGGACTCATTTATACTGCTGGATGGAGAGGTGGGGTAGAGAGGGGAAGGGATTTAAGAAACGTGCCCATTGTTGCTTATAACGACAGCATCCGCATCAGAAGATCAAACCGGTGACCTACGGATTGCAAGTCCAACGTGCTAATGATAATACCATTACAGCATGTTCCACGTATTCGCTGTAATACGTTTTAGTTTTCCGTCATGTTGGAAAAAAGAACGTGTCGTGGCAATGACGAGCCCTAGATTGCGCGACATAGCTGTCGGTGCAGACACGGTGTGCGCACACTCACGTACGCCACACGGTGCTGTTTGTTTTTACAATCGGGCGCAAGCGTGCATGCCTGGGTAAACGCAAATCGTGTGAACGCACACTCATGAATAGAGTTGACGAGCTCGGGCAGAGACACGCTTGAGACACGACAGCAGCACCGTGGCCCTTAAACCAGTGACCTGGCCTCCACACCACCACAGCCGTCGAAACAAGACAAACGGCTCTATGCAAACGAGCAAACCCAATGTCCAGAAACTGAATGTCTGCTTGGCACTTGAATGTTCCATTCGGATACGGGCCGTTGCCCCAACACATGGCCTATTATGGGTTTTTTTTTCTTTTTAGCTCAGTTTTATGGACAATCAGCGTTTGGTGTTCATCATTTGTAAATTCGTACCGAAGCTCTGCAAATGGCCACCATCATCGTTTATTATTCACACAGTGCCTCCCCCATGCAGTACATTGCGAGGTGCCGGAACAATGGGACATTTTAGATGAATTACTCAGAGTAAGGAAGTGATTACAGATCAAATCGAAAGTTCAGAAATAATACATTACGGGCAAAATATACAACAAATGAGAATAAACAGCATTCAAAATCTGAACTGCGGAGAAGACTACTTAAGTTTCGATCCACTTAATTATATTTTGTCCACAAATGCTGTCGACAGAAGAACCCCACGAAAAGCCCCACTTTTTTTATTGCAGTGCATCGGCTAAAAACATTCCCCTTGAGACGGCAAGGCAAATCAGAACTCGCAGTAAAGAAAAATTAATTTTAAGGTAAAACATGAACCAAAACAAACTGCTCTGATATTGTAGCTACAGCACTTAGGGTCCGTATCCGGAGTTGTCCGGTGGAGTTTTTAAAGTTTTTGATGAGATAAAAAGGGAAGAGAAAAGGACTTTAAAGGCGACTTTGAGATTCACTCTTGTGACGGCACTGTGACGAGACTGCAATACCCTTCAGTGACATCATTAGAGTGAAAATGAAAATACATTCAAAGTCTTTCTTTCACGTAAAATACGTTTAAAACTTCTTTCAAACAGCCAATGACATACATAATAGGTACAGAATAATGAATGTGATTATTAACTCATGTAAATTCATTCTTACCCAAACGACACGTGGATTC